GGTTATTGATTCAGAGTCTGAGTTTCACAGCATTTTCCAGGAGTAATTCTTTGCCCAATTAGCATTTATTGACCATCATCTCCATGCCTAACACTTTCCAAATGCTAGGATGCAACTCTGCATAAAGTATGGTTTCAGCATCAGATTCAAATTAAATCCATTCTACAAAATAACTGGCATACAATTTTCAAAAATTCTACATTATGAAAGTCAAGAAAAGTCTGTGGAACTTTTCTCCACCAACAGAGGCAAACAAAACAAGTAAATAGATAAACAAGTAAATAGGACACACATGTAAATACCTAATAGTTTCTCTGGTGTGAAAAACTAAAAGTGTAAATAAGGATCAAAATGTATAATAGTTAATGTGAAATAGGAAGAAAAGGTAAAAAGGGGTAGGGGAAGTAGGAGGGGTAGGGTAAAGGAAAGAAGGGAAAGGAAAAAAATATGAGAAAAGGGAAAAATGGAAACAAAGTCTTTGTAAATAGGGAAAGGTGGAGGGGGTGAAGGGAGGGCAGGGGAGGGGAAAAATAAGAACCAAGATACATCATGTAAAGGTACAAGATTCCAATGATGAGTGTAACTGTATTGTATACCTAAAATGTACCAATAAACTTAATTAAAAAACAAATTTGTATATTCTAAAGTAAATTCACTGATAGAATTTAAAGAAGATGTGAAAATCAGATGGCAGCAATTTATTGATGCTGTTTCCCAGTCAACTTGGACTACCATTCATACAATGCCATTGTCTGGGAGACTTCAGCAACAGAAATTGATTTTTCACAGTTTTGGAGGTATAAAGTCCATGCTCAAGGAACCAGCAGATTAGATTCCCCAAATTGGGCTCTCTTGCCGGGTTGCAAATGATACCCTTCTTGCTATAACCTCATCTGGTGGAAAGAGAGGAAGCTAGCTGTCTGGCAACTTTTATTTTAAAGGAATAATCTCATCATGAAGGCTCCAGCCTCATGATCTCATATAAATCTAATTATCTCTCACAGACCCCACATCTAAACTTGGAGTTGGGGCTTCAACATATGAACTGAAGAACAAGAAACACAATTCAGTCTGCATAGCCTGATATTGCCAATTTTATTGTGTTCACAAGGAAAATGTCATTGATTGTAGGAGATACAGCCCAAAGAAGCTGAGGGTAATGAATAATGAATTGATGACTTACAAATGGGTCAGAAGAAAGAGTTTTCTATGATATCCTTGCAAAACTTCTTTATTATTCTTTCAAAAATCATTTTGAAGCTATTATTTCTATCTTAAGCTTATCAATTCTAGTAGGAAAGAGAGACATGTAAGCAACTATAAATAAATATCATTAAGCACAGTGAAGTGTTTTAGGGTATAACAAAGGATTGAAATAGAAGAGGGAAGGATAAGTCTGTCTAGAAATGCAGCAGAATAGATCTCCAAAAGGAAATAAACCTTAAGCAGCAAAGAGTGCAAACAAGTCAGGGTTCAGTAAACCCAGTTTATTCAATAATGATGGTATGACAATACTAGAATGTCTGATTTTTATTTTCCCTGTCATTAGATTTTTATTGATCCATTACCTTTATTCATCATTACCTTTTGAGGTTAATACAATATAAAATATTTGCAGAAAATTTGAGTAAAGGAAAATGTAGTAATAAATAGTATAAAGTAAGTTGTTGAGTCAGAAAAAAATGTGTCAAAAATGATGTTTGCATAGCATAACATAGTTTAACAAAGATGACAATGACTGAACCAGAACATTGGAAACAAAGACATTGTGAAAATATACATTTAAAATATTATTTCAAGCTCTGGAGTTTAAAAGATCAGCAACAAACTATAAAAAAGAAAAGAAAAGAAAAAGGAATGATGACCAAGATCCTTTCCTCATTCCGAATAACTTAATGACTTGTCCAGTAAAAAGCATGTGAAATCAGAGTTGCAGTTAGGGACTTCTAAAAGACACACGAGAAAAAAAACTATTATGCACTAATCATTACATTTCTGACTAATGTGAAATCAGATTTTTTCAAACATAATTCAAATGAGTAACAGCTCTACTTTTGTTGGTTATGATAATGTCCAAGATCAAGTCACATGAGCAACTTACATTATTCAAGGTGTTGAAAAGACCATCCCATGTTTTCTAACAAAATTCACATAAAGAATGTCTTCTTTCATAAATTTTCACTATTTCATAAACGTATTGATATTTTAACCCACAGAGCCAATTTTATTATAATATTAACAATAATTTCATACATGTATACAATGCATGGAAAATGACAAAGTATTATTAGACCAAGTTCAGCACCACACAAATCATATTTTGCAAAATTCTGTAAACATTTTTCTGGAATATTTGACTTTGATGTATGATTTTCAAATATAATTTTGACCATGAATACCCTAAGAATCACTAAAACTCAATTCAATATAATTTCTTTTGTATAACCAAACATCATGTTCATATCATTTGTAACTAATTTACTCCAGCAATAGGAGAAAGGCAGATAGTAGCACATTAGAAATAGTTTTAGATATAAGAGTTTTACTTGATTGTTCCCTTGTCTCAAATTTCAGTTTAACTTAATTGAACAAATATTTAACTTCAAAAGATGAATGATACACAGTTATTATTCTCCATGGGTTAAAAAACTAGTGGGGTAAAAGATACATACAAAATGCATATTACATGTGACATCATCTAAGGAGATCTACTTTTTCTGAAGTTTTAGGGAGATGTATAACACCTGGTGAGAGCAGAGGTGAAAGGGGAGGTCTCTAAGTGGTTATGGAAGCATATATTGAAAAAGTTGGCAGATTTTCAGCTTTACATACCTACAGAACACTTACATGAACATCTACATCCTGAGTTTTTCTTTTCCCTGGCCATTGTACACTTAGCAAATAGTGTATTCTATGTTTCTTTGCTGTAGCACATTGTCTTCACTCCTTAATTTTTTTGATTGCTTATACAAATGAGAATTATTATTTTGTATGCCTGCCATAAATATAATTAAGAAAAATTTCTTTTTGTTCTATTTTAAAGTTCTATTTTTAAAAAGAAGTTTAGAAAGTCTATTAACTAAATCATGACATACTCAAGATCGTCTAATACATAGCCATTAATAGGAAGAAATGGATAATATATTGACTTAGACAAATAATAAAAAGGAGACTTGTGTATGTAATATGAAACCATTATGTGAGCATATTGATCCCGATGTTTTATATATGAAGAAGGAATCTGAAAACACTAAAATTTTAACAGTAGCTAATTTTGAGAGACACAATCATTTTTCATTTACTATAATACTCTGTTTCTTTAGAAAATGCAAACAAAAAAGACAAGCACAAAGTATTTACTATCACTTCCTACTTTTAAAACTACACAGTTGGCAACTTTTAAAAATTAATTTCTAGAAATTTTAAAGAATACACATTATCTCCAGATGTAAAATTCTTGGACAATAAAATTCAAGTGAAAAGTGACAATAAAAAATGTCTTTACCTTGAGAGGATTCTAATTTTATTAGAATTAAAGTCTAAAATATAGTTTCATTAATAAGTAGGAAGTCTATTTTCTGTCTATATACAAAAAAATCAGCAATTATCACCTGAGACAGGTAATAGTGTAATAAATTTGTGCAAACTTTTGAACATTTTACAAAGAATTGGTAATTGGAAATGAAATATTTCATTTGAATGTATAGCAGAAAACTTATAAAAACAAGTAGAAGCACAATATCTTGGTCACTCTTTAGAAAATGATCCAATGTTTTATCACAAAGACATCTTGTAGATCTCGAACACAACAGTTAGAGGAATAAAATATTTGTGTGGTTTCTGAAATTGCAGTATATCTCAGTGGGCCTCTGGTGGAGCTGAACAAGATCCCTGAGGTCCCCGCCTCTCCCACTCAAGCATATCATCAAAAGCACCAGTTTCTCTCCATATACGAATCAGAAATTCATTTCACGGGATATGTTTTTTTTTTTTTACTTGATCCTCATTTCAGTTCCATGAGTAGACAAGAATGATGTTATTACATGTACTTTATTAACAGGGAAACAACATCCTAGAAGTGCCATGAGTTTCCTGCCACAAAATCTCCTGATCAGCAAAGAAATAATTTTCTACAAACACACAACAAGCCTAAGAGATGACAAACCAAGGAATGAATACATGCAATTTTTCTTCCGGCACATTGTTAGTTTTTATGTTATTGTTGTTTGGTTTTGTCCCGTGTCTCTACTCTGGACTACTCTACTCTTTTAGTCATGGAGCAGTCTATGAATTAGAAAAGAGGTGCTAGAATGGGCTGGGCGGTGGCCAGGGTGAGGTGCACGGGGTGTTAACCTACATCTGAACAATTTGCATATGATTCACCACATTCGCACAATTTCATTTGAAATACCTACAATTAAGTTATTATCAGAAAAGTATTTACTAGAGTAGAAATTCTAAATTTATCTTCATATAAGCCCTAACCAAGAAAAGGGCCACATTTTCTGCACTTTTGAGTAAAGCAATTACTGAAACAAATTCCTCCAAATTAATATTTATATTCTTAAATTATTGACAGATAATTATATGCATGATTATTTGAGTAATTGACTTAAAATTATAAGTTTAGAATAATATGAAAAATACAAAATTATGGTAAATAGTTTCACTTTTTAACAATATATATATTGCAATATACATAATATTAAATTGCCTTGAACATGAAACTATATATTTCAATCTACTAAAATATCATCAAGAAAGAATAAACGTATATATGTATGTAAATTCTATCTATAATAAAATGCATACTGTAATGACATAGAGGAAAATTTCCAACTGATGAACACTTCGTGTTGGATGATTTCAAATTTAGCAGGTAGATAGAATACACCTCCCACTTAGAATAAACAGCATTAATTCTATCACTATGGATAAAGGGAATAAATTTTGAAACGACTAAAACAAATTTAATATATAATCAGAAGTTTTTTTCCTACCTTTATAGGTGAATAAAATTTCCTCTGTATAATCGTTGAAGATACCCTGCAAAAGAAGTAGAAAATAGATGACATCATAAAATATAAGAAAATTTTAAAATAGCAGAACTTCTGTAACATTATCAACAGTGACTGTCAGTGGTCTATTTGCCAGACAACCAACCATATAGGGTGGCAATGCATCATCTTTTTTCTCCTCCCAAAGACATGAGGCTGATAACATGGACAGTGACAAGAGGCACACAAGCTTTAGAATAAAAGCATTATATGTGTATTGAGCATTTTTGTGCTCTATGGAGCATGAAAGTAGTGATTAAGACTTTATTGTTCAAAACTATTAACCAATTTAGTAATTTTACTACTGACAGCTGATAAGGGCTGAAAGCAACAAGGAAAACAACCCCATGTCGCTAAAATGAAGCAAAACAACTAAAGAAAAAAAAATTAAATGTAAAGATTTTTCAGATTGAGTAACATCTCTTTATATCATTAAAAATATAGGTACTAAGACTCTATTTCATTTTGTGGGTGAGATAAAATTTTAATGCAGAGTGACCCAAGTTCTACATGTAGGGATTTCATACAGAAGTTATCTGGCACACAGAACTGCTCTCAAGAAATTCCTGAGCTGTTCGTTGAGACATAACTGGTCTTAGACTAGAAGGTAATTCAAAAGTCAACTGGTCCAGCTGCCTCACTCTACAGATAACCAAAGCAAAGTCACTTAGCTAGCTCATGGCAGAACTAAGGGTAAAATGTTCATCTCCTCGCTTCTGGTCATAAACCATTTACAAATCAATGAGAGAAAGCAGGAAGACAAGGTAAATATGCTACCAAGCTGCTAAACTAATCAATAACATGACTAGGTGGATATCAAAGAAACCATCCAGTTGTCTGTTATATAAAATATGTTTTCTAGGCAGACTAAACAGAGAAAAATTTCCCTTTTACTTTCACACATGGCTCCCCATTCTAAACTAAGTTGTTATTATAGACAATAATATAGTTACTCTTCTCTTCCCTGGCTAGATTGCAATATTATTTATATATATAATATATATATATTATATATATAATAT